CTTCTTCTTCTTCTTCTTCTTCTTTAGCGTTTGTCCCGCTCAGCGGCAGGGTCCGCTCTTCTAATGTGATGACGCCACTTTTCCCGATCAAATGCCTGATCGGGGTGAATTCCAGCTATTTTCAAGTCTGTATGCAACGTATCGAGCCAGCGCTGTCTGGGACGTCCCCTAGGTCGCTTTCCGGGCACCTCAAGCTGAAGGCCAGTCCTACAGACGGTGTCAGCCTTTGCGCGAAGTACATGGCCGTACCATCGAAGGCGCGTTTCTCGCATTTTGTCAGCTATAGGAGCTATGCCGAACTTCTTGCGTATTACCTCGTTACAAATGCGGTCCAAACGCGTGACACCCGCAGTCCAACGCAACATCTCGTCTCCATCACACTTAGACGGGCTTCGACTTCTTTGGTAGCGGGCCAGCACTCGGCGCCATATAGGGCGACTGGTCGAACGACACTTCTGTAGATCTTCGACTTTAGCCGTTCTGGCATCTTCCTGTCGCAGAGGATCCCCGACATGCATCGCCATTTTGCCCACGCTGCACTCACCCGTGCGCTCACCTTCCGCTTTGAGATCTCCATCGGACGTAATTGCTGATCGTAATTGAGATATTGGGTTGCCATAATGGCGTTTTTTGTCACACAATTTTTTATATGAAAAACGACAATTGTTCCCAATATGTTCTACATGTTTGATAGATAATTTCCTGCTCTATAAGATAGTATGGTTACCTCCCTACTGTTTCATAATTTCCGCCGATTTTTATTTCATTAAAAGGAAAATTCGGGTCGACCCAAAAGTGAGTTTTCGACAACTACTTTTTGAATTTTATCTCGGCTCTCAATCTACAGAAGAAGCTCAAACCTTGTGGTATATATGACCAAAGAAAGATGCGTCTTATGACAGCTTGAAGTTGGTTCAAGCTATCAAGTGGTGGGAATTCGGACCTTGTAAAGAGCATCGCGTGGGGGGGGGCATCTTGAATGCGGAACCCATCCACTAAGTTTTGAACTTCTCCACTCAAGTGAAGGTGATGCTTGATAATGATAAGGAAGCATTCTATGACCTCTAACGATTCCTCAATCTTTGGCATGATTCTCAGTTAATAAGGTAATTCCGTAAGCTCTCAGTTGGACAGAATAGGGCATTAGGTTCGATGCTTGTCTGTGAGGTCGAAACTGAAACCTTCGAATCACCTAAAGTTTATTAGTGTTGTGAGAGT